TCCAGTCATTCTTCAGAGCACCCCACCGTGCTAAGAGATGTGATTATTTATCTTGGACACTCCTTGAATCACCTCTGCCTACAAGAAAACACTTTACATGTCCTTTTAGGCTAACTAAGGGTGGATATATACCTCCCAGGCACATTGTATAGCACACAATCAGCCTGTGAACATGAACTGCTGGTGATTAAGGAAAGAAATAGAAATTCCTCATGCCTACACATTTATGCTCCTCATAGCCAGTGTTTTGTGTCCTTCACCCCAAGAGGGACAATTACCTGCAATTTGATGCTCAAAATATGTACTTTCAGATTTTGTAGCTTTGCATCCCACGGTCTGTAAAAAAAAGCTGCTACAAAAGAATAGTATGTGATACACATGAGCACACACACGTGTGTACGTAATGTTATATATATATATTTATCTGCATATCTTTGTCTGCAAAGTCCCAAATGCTAACTGGATTTACTTAAATACAGATGTTTCACTCATAGAGGAGTCCTCAAAAATCATTTGATCAAGCTAATACTTCTCCCACTACAGAAAGCACAGTGCAGCACAGCTCTTCCAGCACAATCTGCGCTCCCCTGTGAAAGGCCATCAGATAATAGAGTTAATGCTGCAGCATTATTTCTGCAGGACAGAGGTGCAGAGACCTTCCTGCTGGTTCTTGTTCCCAGTATGTGGAACAACACAGAACTTACATTTCAGATAATAAATATTTGTTAACATCTTAGTTCAGTAGATGCATCCTATCATTATTTGCTGAAATGCAGAGCACAGAAATAGGTTAAATCCTCTTACCAGCATAAAAGAAACTTCACTTTTCACACCCCTTCCGTCCCTTGCTCATTTAGGCTGTGTGACTTGAAGATCAGGCAATAGCAGCAGGGGTGTAATAAAGTAGAGCTTACTCTGCCTGATTTTATAGATAATCTCAAGAGCCAATGACAACCCATTCAGAGATTATCAGATCAAGTTAAAGTAGCCACATCTGCAATTTCTAATTAGTGATGGAGAAAGTGAGGATTTTTTTTTAAGGGTTAACATTTAGAGGGGCAAATAGTTTGCCGACTATAGAATTATCTTCTCAGAACACTTATGTACAAACAGCTTTTATGCTGCCACTTTAATGAGAAAAACAGAAAAGCCTAAAGCTATTTCCTCACTTTGCCTGGGTACAAGCAGAGACTCAAGGCCTGGATCCAGTAGCATTCACACAGCAAGAACATCCTTGCCCCAACCTCCATCTACCCTCTGCTGTGCCCCAAGCAGCTCTGGCAGTTTGTGCGAGGACAGGTTTTCCCATGCTCAGCTGCAGTGTTTTGGCAGTGGCAGTGCAGTTGGACCATTGATTTGTTTGTGCACACAGTTCTAACATGAGAAAAGAGGAAGAGGGAGGCAGGTGCAGCACGGATTGAGCAGCAGTCTATTAGCGCTGTCACAGGGGGCCAGGGACTGCATAGGATGGAGACAGATGTTTCCAGAGTGGCTTCTGAGCTGCTGCTGAGTGGGTGATGATGCTTCTCCAGGACCTACTGCCAGACCCTTCCAGCCTAGCAAGACCACCACCAACTCAGAGTATCCCCTTGTATTAATATTTCAAAACAGAGTAGTATTTCTGACAAGGGCATCACAGTTTGCTGTAAGTTTCTTCCATACTTCCTACATTCCTCCAGGCCTTTCCCATCCCAGTGACCAACAACGGGACCCTCTGCTCTCTACTGCAAGATCCCTTTTATACTTTCTAGTGCACTTTCCACCTGCATCTCCTACAATTAACCTCATCAGGCAAGCAGTGTTTCTCAACAGGTGCCCTAAGGCATCTCTCACACTTGAGATGCTCACACTTTCCATCCAAAGTATTCCCTTTGCACAGACAAGGTCTGTCCACCCTCACCAGCCCAGCACCCAGTACAGATGAGCCTGGAGAGCTCTGGTGCTCTGGGCATGCTGTGGAAACATGCCACAGCAGCAGACAGGAGAAGCAGGGAGAGCTGCTGGGGTAGGTGGCAGTTGCTCTTCCCTTGGCTTGTAGAGGGATTCACATTTCTGCCCCTGAGACAGCGTCAAACAGGCTTGTCTAGCACAGGATTCTCATGCTTGCCTGCACCTGTGCTTGGATAGCAAACAGTGCTGGTCTAACAGAGCACACAGTCAGTACTACAGTCTGAGACTGGTGCTGTGCCCAGATCATGCTGTGACTCAGAAGCATGCAGGACTCAACTCCCTCTTTTCTGCTGCCCCTTCAGTCCCTCTCAGCTATGGAGAGGCACAGCACCACCCATCCAGACCAGGTGTGCAAGCCAGCAAGGTCTCAACGGTCTCCAGGCCATCATGTCCCAGGTCATTGTGAACACGAGGCAAAGCACAGCAGCCCCTGGCAATTGAAGGACTTTATCTACATGGCTGGTCTGCATCTTCTTGCTGCCTCACACCGCTTGCTCACCTCACAGGCTCAGGATGCAATTAAGCCTCCCTCTGCTAGATATGCTGAAGTGAGAGCACTGGGTTCACTGTGCATGGCAGGAGCGACTAAGTGGATTACCCTGAAGTTGAAGGGTTAGGAGGCTATTGCAATTTCTGGTTCTTTGAGGTCTGCTTCACCAAGCCTTTAAACATCAAATGCTTTTATCATAGGTCCTTCATCTGCTTCCCGCTGCTGTGGGAACCTGTTGCTCAGTGTCCCCAAAAGGCAGACTGAAACCTTCTGCAGAAAGCAGATTTGACAGCAGAGAGGCCTCCAAACCCAACAAAACATTGACTTTCAACACCACCAATAGCCCTAGAATTCTTGAGGAAATATATTTTTTCTAAATTAGATATTGGTATGCCAGGTACAGTCCTAGAGAGCATTCAAGCTGCCAGGAGATAGGGGGAAGACAGAAAAGTCACCTCACAAATATGAACAAAAACCGGGCAAAATTTTAACTGCAAGAGCTTGCTTCAAAAGGAACAGTCTCCCTTACTTTCACATCCTTGTGCCACATACAAAGCAAGCTGTTCTCTGCCCACAAAGCCTGCCTCTTGAGTGGCCAGAGGCTTCTCCCAGGCCCACAAAGCAGCAAACTTCTGTTAGATGGACAGCTTCAGATGGCGGAGCTGCAACAGAAACCGCTCCTTCAGCGGTTCTAGGGCTGATGGTACCAACAGAAGTCAGGACCATGAGTGTCAAAACACCCCAGAAAGACTACCCAGATCCTGCTCCTCCCTGAAGCAGCCTGGGGCTCGTTATTGCAGCAAATCTAGTGCCCAAAGCACATATAGCCATGAGATGCACCTGCAGGAAACGGTGTTACAGCCCATGAGCAGTGCTCCTGCCGATAGGCATTTGCATGGACACAAGCACAGGCAAGCAGGGCACTGTTGTAGGACAGTGCAGGGCAGTGCCTGATCGCCAGGGCTCACTCCTCTGCTGCCTCATGGGTACCGCTGCCTGAAGCGCAGCATGGAGGATGCATAAACACGTGAGGACAACACCTCTGACAGCTCACCACAGAAGAAGACAAGAAAAAGAAAGATATGAAAACAAAGGGGAGAAGGAACTAGAAGAGTGACATCTTGGGGAAGAAGGAAGCCCCCAAGCTAGGGGTATGCTTGAGGAAAGCTAGTGTCTGTAGGTTCAAAAGCAACATGGTAGAGACTGTGCCTACTCTGGATAATTAAACCAAGAATGTGGATGAATAGAGAAGTTCTAACAGCACAGTGGATCCCTGACTGCTCCGCCATTCACCTGTGAATGAAAGAGTTTTTCTTCATTGTGGTGCCCCCTTCTATCTAGGGGCCTGTGAACTGGTAACATTTTTGAGTAAGAAGAGATAGGGGAGAGGGAAGAGAGTTTTTTAGTATCACAACAACAACACATTATTACTGAGCTGGAAGCTCACACTGTTCACCAAAAAGTCCTCTGAGATTTTTCTCCAGCAGCCAAACATCCGTTGGATTAGTGGCTCTGAGTCCACATAAAGAGTAGGTCTTCACATTCAATATTACTACTATATTAACTTTTAAAGACAATTATCCAAAATAAGACAGAGTTACAGAAATATCAGAGGGAAACATTTTCACAGTTACATCACAAATGGCAGATTCATGGTTGGCTTTACTTACTAGAAGAATTTTCCCAGGCTTTACACTACTGACCTTTTAACTGCAGCAAACACAGATCCAACACAGAATCTGCAGGCACAATCAGGTAAGACAGCATTCCTTAAATTTCTGTTTCCAGCTCTAAAAGTCACCAGGTGTTACAGTTAACATGTTCAGAATTTGCAGAAGAGATGCTAGTTCAACAGGAAGCTCTGGTTGAAAGCATTTCTCTGGAAATATATATGTTTTGAAGAATTTTCATTTTTGGACTCTGACAGCAAAATCCTTCTGGAACCAGAATTCTGTTTGGTTTCTTGAGTGCTCAGTTCTCTAACAATGTGAGAATTATTTTTATATGCTCATACCCATAGACAGGGCTGAGACCCTTCACAGTTAACGTAAGTGATTACTGCTGGGTTTAAAGAGCCAATGATTTTGGTAGAAAAAGTAACACCACCTGTGCTGCTAGGACAGAGTAAAAGAACTTTAATGTAACAAATACAATCACTGTGGATTATACTTCAAAGGCTCCATACACCACCAAATTCTCAAACCATGTGAGAATGGCAGGGAAAATCATTTTAAAGTTTTCTATTCTTTATAAGCTTACTTTCAGAAAAAATACATGTTTATCTAAGCTAAAGGGCAGATTTCAAGGTGCAGTTTTTTTTCTGCTTGAAAGAAATGATTTTTTTCTGTTCACTACAAAGGGGTTTGACCTGAAATGCTGAAAAAAAAATTGGTCACGCCAGCATGAACACGACAAGGCATACAGAAGTAGGCATATAATTCTACAGACCTAACAGTTTTCAGCAGCCTATAATGCAACTTACATTAGGCAAACTTTGTTTTCTTTCTGAATTTTGCTAACATGTCGCTACTGGCGCATATGGAAATTGTGTTGTCTGCAAGGCAACACCAAGACCTTAGTTAGTCTGTGTCCCGTTGGCAGGACTGTCCAAGCGGCAGGAGACCCACTGCTTGACGTAGCTCCGTGGGAAGTCCTCTCCCTCTGGTTCAAGAGGGATAGACCCACAGTTGGTCTGACTGTTTTGGTCAAATTCACAGTCCACTGGACTCCCACAGTCTGAGTCCACAAAGCCACTGTCGATAGTGTCCAAGTCCAGGCAGATCATAGGATAACTGTCACCAGGCTTTGCACTCTGAGGGAAAAAGTCACAGGAACCTTCGCTGTAAGAAACACTTTCTCCATCAGGAGAAGGCAGAGAAGCTGGATTTCCCAAATCCCACTGATTAGGATGCAAGCAAAGGGCTTCTAGGATACTCCCCATCCCTCTTTTCAGAGCCCTTTCTACATGCTGGGGGGCTGGGGAGCTTGTGCCTCTCGTGTGATCTGTGGACACAGAGCCCGAGGCAAGTACTTTGTCCTGTGTGCTCAGGTCAGCCAGAAGCAAGTCGCTGGATAGCTCCGTCTCGTCACCATCAATGTTAACCTTCGGATAACCAGTCACTCCAGTACTACCATCCTCATCGCTGATATACTTGTGTCCCCTGCATACATGGTTACAATTGCATTGAGAGTGACAAGGTGTAAATTCATCAGCCACAGTCACAGTATCAATGGACAAATGCCCATATGACTGATCCTGAGTCCCACTGCTACTGTTTACACTGGACAGAGGAGACTGGTTCTCCTGACCTGGGGCAGTCAGGCAAGACATGCAGGGCTTGCAAGGTGGATCCTTTTTCAGCTCACTCAGCTCCTCTTGTGAGGTGCTATTGGGATGATGCATGCTGTAAACTTCTAGGACTTCCGGAAGAACAATTCCCCATTCAAAGAAATCGAGGCTCATTTTGGTATGAGAGGCACCAACCCACTTCTGCATAGAAGGAAAATACAGGGAGAGAGATGTTAGTATTATTCTTTGGAGGTTCAACAGAAATACCCAAAGAGCTTATGTCAGACTCTAAAATCACTGAGGGTCTCAAAGTGGCGAAGGATTTGATGTTGTTGCTATTGGGCACAAACTGCTGCAGAATTGGTTCAAATAATTGAAAATAACTAGCTCTAACATCTTTTACATTCACAGCTTTGCAGTTAGTCCTATCTAGATATGAGTGAAGGCACTCTGCATTTCTTTGATCTAAGAATAAGATGCTCAGACCTCAGCAAGCTTTCAGCAGTGCAAAAGCCAGGGAGTCCTATTAGAGAGGCCATGCTGCCCAGATGCTGGGCACAGCAGTGAGATGCGGGTCTGGTTCCTGTCCCACACTGGCTTGCTGGATAAGTTGCACCAAGGCTCTTGTTCTGCATGTGCACCACTTTCTGCTCTATGTGAAACAGGTGACAGTGCTGACTCCCATGAATGATGTGAAGGCTTCTGGCCACAGCTTTGGAACTGAATGCTATAAACCCCCATCCCAAACTGCACGCACTGTAGCTAGACTAAAAAGAATGTGGGAAGAGAGCCTGATTCAGCTTGTCATTCTCACTGAGCATGGAAAATCCTCCTTACAGCAGGAAACACCAAGTATATTTTAATTTATTTTAAGCCTAAAATGCAAAGAGTGTATTATTAAAGCTGCAGAGGACAGGAAGGTGTCTAGACCACAAAAGGCCATTTAAAGAAACAAAGGGGAACCCCTTCCAGGACTGAGCAGGCAGAAGATTGCCAATGCTCTTTTGACAGTTCCCAATATAAACACAAGAACACATGTACACACAAAGAAGACAATGTTCCTCTGTTTTCTCTCTTCTTTTCATATCTTCAGTTTTCTCTAAAATTTCTACTGCTTCCTGACTGGCTCAAGACTCCCTGCAGGGCATTGTCATTGTCATTTGCTGATCATTATCCACAGACATTTCTTAGCCACTTGCTTGATGCAGGCAGGATGCAACTGAATGCATCCTAGATGAATTGGCTTTTTGCCAGCTGATAATGAGGACTTAGTTCGCATATTAGTGAGGCCACCACATCCTCTTGACATCCCCTGCCTATGCATCTTGTGCTGTGGCGGTGTGGGTGATTGTTACTTTAATTTGCAAATTTATTGAGTTTCCCAGAAGTACTTCAGCTTAAGCATTATTGTAATTGAGGCTCATTCCCTCCCAACAGCCCTGAACAACCTAATTAGAAACTAGCAAAACTATCATTCCAGCTAAGCAGGATGAAGCCATGGAGTTCCTTGAAAGGAGCATTAGAGAGTGGTTTCATTATCAAGTGATGGGCTGATACAACATGCAAGTATCAGCCCATGATTCTCAGGAATTCCCACACCAACTCCATCTGATTTTAGCACCTTTCCCTGAGAACAGCTGGTGCCAGCTGCCTCAATGGAAGGTGGAAGAATCCTCGTGTGCAGATGTGGGAAGTCATGGTGGGCCTGAAAGGGGAAGACAATCAGGAAGTGAGACAGGCTGCAGTTTGAATGGTGCCTATCCAAGACTTTGAGAGTTTAACCCATTTGCAAACTTTGGCCATGCAGCATGGGAAAGTACATGACGATCATTAAGGCCCAGCTAGTGTTCCTCTCCCAGAGTGTCAAAGAAAAGGCAGAAAGAAAAAGCAGACACTGAAATGTCTCTGATCAGAGCTGCTGCAATGACAGGAACTTGTTCAGAAAGAAAAGACAGTGATGTTCACGCTCATGTGCCACAACGTTTCCAATTTGATCATGGCATTGAGGGTTGATATCAGCTTGATGTGAAAAATGTTGATGTATGCTTGATGTTCTTTTGCTTTTGTATCCTAGGAACTCTAGCAAACCCTCTAGTCTTTGCAAGGCATTTTGCCACATGAGCTGGTGTTAAGGGGGAAGTACATTTGGGAGGGCTAGACGCAGTTACTCACTTCACACAGACACTTCCCTAGCAGGGCGGCAGCTTTGCATACAGAACCATCACGAGCTAATTATTAGCCCCCGAAGCACTAACCATGTTTCCAGAATGACTCTATGAGGGACTTTCCAGAGAGGACAACAGGGGCTAGTTCTGAGCTTGTGTCACTGCAGAAGCTTAGAGGAAGCTCAGGCCTGCACCTGATGGCACCATGGGACTGAAGCTTTGAAAAAAAAAAAAAACAGGTACTGTTCTGAGAGTCCTTCATCCATTCCTTTGGGAAACCCATGCTGCATACATTACACATGAAGCTCAGCTCACCCACCATGCCAGCACCTATGGGGGGATGAGCAGAGCAGGTCTGGCTAGAAGTCCTTCTCCACACAGAGTAAACACTGGATGGCTCCAGTACATTGGCATTCCCCAGGAGTGATTCTTCCTTCCATGCTCTTAATGAGAATCCCCTGCCCAGGATAGCATGTTGGGCCTTTTAGTTTATCTTTGTCACGTGCTCCACAGACATACGTAGCCCATTTATACCTTGAAATCTCCATTATGCACCAGGTAAAGGGGTTTGAAAAAGGCAGCAGGGTCTGGGATGCAAGCCATCTTCTTCCAAAAGCTGGAAGGAAAAAAAGAAAAGCTTTGGAGTTAAGTACACATTACATGTCCAAACCTAGGCATTCCCAGGGAAAAGCAAGGTGCCCTTGGCTATACAGGAAACAGAAGCCACATTTTACTGGCAGCTGTGCCTGGTTGCACGAGATGCAGACGGCTGCATGTGAACACCCCATCTTGATCAAGACAGAGCAAGAGCATTTGCTCTAGCTCCCTCAAGAGCTCTTACCTCTGCTGCTTGGCCAAGAAGGCTGTGATTGAGGCAGTGACCGTTGCGACAACACCAAACAGCAGCAGCCATCTTGTGTCTGCTCTCTGTGTCACTACTGGACAAAAAAACCTGGTCATTCAGATCAACCCTGCGTTTCTACCCTGGTCAATAAGCAGGAGATGGTGAGGAAACGTGATGAAGCTTTTCACCAGACTTTTCCTAGGACATGGAGGCTTTCATCTGGAGCTAAGCCCTCCCCACAGCTGACAGCAACACTAAACCCCAACAGTGAACTACCTGCACCAGACCTTTCCCATCTCTGACAACTGTAGCCTGTCTGACACTGCAAAGGGAACCAGAAGATGTGCTCCTGCCATGGCAACCAAACCTAAAACCAGCCCCCAAAGCCTTCCTCTGCCGGGCCTTTCCGTAACAGGCTATGCAGCATGATGGGAAGACGAGTCCAGTGAGCACATATCAGCCCAAGCCAGGAATTCGTGTATTCAGTAAGAAAGCCAAAGGACACACATATCTTCACTAAGTTATTTAGCATTTGGCCTAGTTAGTCAGCTTTGATTAGATTTCTGGAAGCATTCTCTGACCAGCAGAGCGAAGAGGCATAATGTACCGTCAGGGCTGGTGGTCAGCATCAGCGGATGACTCCAGTCGCTCCAAAATCCGCGGTAGCCAGTGTCCTCTCGGGGTTTGGCTCGAACCTGGAACTCATACTCAGTGTTTCCCTGGAGTTCCTGTGATAGGATCACCAGTGTCCGCTTATCCTCATGGACAGCTTTAGTCTTTTGAGTCTGTGAACAATCAATCACCAAACAGTTATGGCTGCAGCAATGATCTCACCATGCTCCTGCTTATACTGCACAATGAGGATCCTGCTAAGGAATCCCTGATGCCTGCAAACCCTTCTTGTTGGTCATGTTCCTGTGGGCCAATCTGCAGCTGCACGTGGCCCTGGTGCAGGATGGCATGGGAGCAAACAAGCCATCATTCTTCCCTCTCAGCACCTTCCCATAGCACCTCTCAGATAGCCTCTGCTTCCCAATTTCCTCTTAGTTTTGTCTGCTTTCAGTTCAGACAAGCAAAGAGAAAACTTTTATAAATCTTGAAAACCCTTCTTCCATGCCAGGGCTCCTGCCCTCCCCTTTGCTGGTACATCCTACTTGCTGGTAAACCAACATCTCACTTACCTCCCAGGTGTCGCTCCTTTTCTTGAAACGCAGCTGATACTCCAGCTCCTCATTCAAAAAGTAATAAGGAGAGTTCTGGTAGATGGTTTCCCAAGAAATATTGTAACCCTCTGAGAACACAGCGGTGAGATTGAAAGGAGGCTGTGGTTTGACTGTGGGTAAAGACAGGGTGGGTTACTCTTTGCAGTGTCACTGCACACACAGGAGACAGCCTTGCATGGGATCAGCAAGGCAGAGCAGGATGCTCCATCCCTGCCCCTGGGCTGAGCAGTCCAGAGCACTGCACAGAGCCGCAGACATCGGGAGCGCAGTTAAGTCAGGCCTGCATTTCCCTGAGTGTGCCCAGTGCCCCTCACTGTACCCCCTCACCACCTAACAGAGCAGGAGAAGGTAGCAGGAGGGGCTGATACCTCTAGCATCCTGCTCTGTTCATACCACAGGAGGACTCCGTGCAGTCAAGGTCACTCATACCATTAAAGAAATACCCCTTAATGAAACAGAGACATCAGGAAAAGCTGAAGCTAGAGGACTAGTGCCTAGAAGAGCAAACTTTTTTATTCCCTGCAGGGTGTTTTCACATGGTGCTTTTGTATGGAGAAATCAGCATGCAGGAGCATGCAAAGCACCACAGCCCATCTGTGCATTGAACAGCTCTTGACTTTTCTGAGATGTTCTGGCATTTGTCAAAAGGGATAAGGTTTCCCACATGGAGTTCAATTTTCAGAATTCAGGTAGAAAAAAAATTCACATATCCCTGTGCTGCCTGCTGACCTACCTGGCTTGGCTGCCTGCCTGGCTCATCTAGTGACTAAACACCCATTTTCTTTATTGTTTACTGCCTAACTCAGAGTGAACAAGTGTCCCACCAAATCATCAATATGATCACGCACAGTCTCCCTGGCATGCAGAACAAGATGGCTAAGAATTGCCTCAGAAAGGAGAAGCGCCACCTTCATTGTGTCTGGGACCCTTCCTGCCCTCCTCAGACAATAACATTGTATTTGTTCTGGTGTCCTATGCCTGAGGCTCATACGAGGACATTAGTGGCATTTCCATTTCCAAACATTTCCTCTTGCTCTTCTGGTTCTATCCAAGAACAAGCACTGTCACAGTCTAGTCTAGATGTGAGACTGGCCTGAAGTGAAAACATATCACAGAATGCTCAAGGTTGGAAGGGCCACAGGAGACCATCTGGTCCAATCAATGCTCCATCAGGGTCAACTAGAGCATGTTGCCCACAACCATGCCCAGATGCCTTTTGAGCATCTCCAAGAAAAGAGACTCCCCAACTGCTCTGGACATCCTGTTTCACTCTTCTGTTACCCTCACAGTAAAATAGTTTTTCCTCATGTTCAGGTGGACCTTCCTTTGTTTCATGTTGTGCTCACTGCCTCTTGTTCTGTTTCTGGGCACCGCTTAGGAGAGTCTGGCTCCATCTCCTTATACCCTCCCTTAGACTCCTCTGAGCCTTCTCTTTGCCTGTCTGAGCAATCCCAGCTCTCTCAGACTTTCCATTCCAGACGCAGTCATCTTAGCAGACCTTCACTGGCTAGCCCATATCACCACCTACTTCATGGGGCAAAAGGATTTTATCTATTGGTCAGGCGAGTTCTAAACTTGGCCTTGAGCATGAATGTTTCTGTAGTTTGTAAGAGCAACAAAAAGACCAGTTCTCTCTGGGGAATGAACAAACACCAAACATAGTCCCCATCCATAGTCCACAAACACTGAACATAGTGCCCAGACATTGAGCATAGTCCCCAATGCTCTCTCCTTACCCAGGATGTTGGATGGACATGAGCTTAGTCAGTATTTCTCAAGCCTGCCACTTTTGTACTTACTGTTCTCTCCCATATAAAAGCCTGTGGAAATCATGTGTTGCCTATCAGCTATCTCTGTAACATCCACCTGGACTTTGGTATCTGCCAGGAGTTCGGTCATGTCAACAGTGCACATATATTGTGTATGGCTGGTGTTCCTCGTTGACTGCAGGAGACTGCAGGCAGCCACAGGATTTTCTGGATCTTCCTCAAGAATCCTAAAACAAACAAACAAACTAATTCATATCTGCCACATACTGTAGTTGGGCTAATCTGTTGCTGAACAACCTGGATAAAAAAAAATCTATAAAGGAAAAGGATCAATGAATGTATTCAAATAAAAATGATTTTTGAACCCAGAGAGATCTTTTTCTTTCTATTTACTCAGCTTAGCATCTTTCTGAAAGCAATGAGAGATTGAAACAGAGGTGTTTGTAGAAAAGCAAGCTTCAAAAGCCAGGTGCTCACCAGGGCTGCAAGGCCAGGACTGCACCCACCTCCTGGGTGAAGTGGAGAACCTGCCCTGTGGAGCTTGTATAAATTGTGAGAGCCCTGCCAATATATGGAGTGACAGTTCATGGTTAGCAGCAGCAAAAAGCAAGGCACTCTGCGACTGGAGAGGAACAGTGCAGAGGAGCCAGAGGCAGTGCAGTGTCCAGGGTGGGTAGTGCAGCTAGCACAACCAGGCACCTTCTGCAAATGGGAAGGTCAGTTGGCAACTGGAGCATGAAGAACGAAGGAAAACCAGCACAGCAGCAAGCACAAGAACTCTGTCCAACAGAGAGGCAGGACACCAGCATACTAGGGCTATGTTAAGAACTTCACTCTTCCTACTGAGACATACCATGTTGCGGTGAGGTTGTATGAACCAGCACACAGGTCATTCTTCAGGATGCAGGACAGGGTCTGTACATAGTCCACAAAGCAAGTGAGGTTTTCACAATGTGTAGCTGTAGGTTTGGAAAGACAGAGCAAAATATTAACTTACATGCATCGGATGTATAAACATTTTAATTACAGCATTTCTTAAATTTATGCTGCTCTTTGCTCATTTAACATTCATTTTATGTCTCTCTGCTTACAGATTTCTGCAGCTTGATATCTGTAGCACCAATGCACATATCAGCACCTGAGATGCGCCATACAAACAGGTCATTCCATACAGAAATGACACTGAGGATATCTCCCTGGATTTCAAGGCAAGGAAGATTGCAATACAGAGATAAACCCTGCATTGGGAAGTCCTCTCCTGACACGGTCCTGTCACCAACAAATGCACTTCAAGTCACTGTGTACAGGTGACAAGTCCAGAGGAGGGAGCAATCAGTTCCAGATCAGAATAAGTCCAAAGGGAAAAAAAGGCCAAAATTTTCCCACCCAATCTGCTCATCATGAGGTCCTCTGCTACCCCTGCTGCAGTAGGGCACCTGCTGCTTTCATATATCTGCTGTATATGAGCTCTGTTCAGGGCTCAGCTTTGTCGACAAAACCCCCAAGAGTTACTATGGTCAGAGAAGAGGAAGAAATTTGGGGATACTTGTAACAGACTCTAGCCCCAAGGGTGTACATAGGCTTTTTAAAACTGTGAGTCAAATGATGTGGTTGTTAATTTGTTTCATTTTAACTATGACTACAGAACTTTGTTCTGAAATTGTAATTAATTTCATTTTTGTTTTGTTTCAACTTTAACTTTTCATTCTGAGCCCTCAGCAGGATCCCATGAGGTCCCTGGCACATCCACTGCTTGTTCCATAGTCCTGAACAAGATACCTTTTCTCCCTTAGCCTGACTATTTATAAGTGTTGCTAAGCTAAAAACATTGCTTGTTAGTTGCATTCTTGTGCCCTACTTTGATACCAACCAAAGGCAACTGGTAAGCTGAAAGCATTTCTGTTTGCATAAGGATCTGCTACCAAAATTCAGAAGAGGATGGGTTTTTACCAGTAAGGGAATAAGTAAATGCTGGCACAGCTTGGACAGGTCTATCATTCTCCATCCTTGGCAACCTCAAAAGCAAAGGCTGAATATTTTAGAAAACAAGCTCTAGTCTAGTCTGAACTGAAATTGGTAGAAGGGATTTCCCTGGGCTGTGTTACACAGAATTAAGATTGAGCAATTGCAGTGAGACTTTATGGCAGGAAGGGGCAACTCTGAATTCATCTTTTCTTCTGGTTCAGGTATGGACCAGGTCTCAGGTTTTGACTAGGGGCAGCAGGTGGAATGGCACTGTCCTGTCATGCCTGCTCCCTGCTCCCCCAATTGCTGCTGGCCTGCTCAGAAGGTCAGCTCCGTCTTGACTACCCTGGGTGACAGGTAGGAGCTGGCACGAAGGGGATGGTGGCCTTTGCTACTGGTGGCGCTGCTCTTGGCCACTTGAGCTTTTACTACAATCCTACCCTGGTGTCCCAGGCCAAGCTGGGTTCCAACATTACTGTCTCTGTGTGCTCCCAGAGATGGATGAGTCTGCCTGAGCTCTGCCTGCTGTGCACTCAATCCTTGTCTCCTTCCCGGTGCCTCCCTGTGCTTCTGTGTCCCCATGACACCCCTGGGCCATCAGCAGCCAGCAAGATAAACCTTGTGGGTGCACAGCCTAGAAAAGATGTGTAGTGACTTACTGTGCTGGGATAGAAGGAAGAAGAAAAGACTCCAGGGCTGTGGCTTGCTCCTCATGTTGGTTCTGGCTGGATGTCCTGAAAAAAAAGAATTAAAGTTCAGCTCAGCCACCTGCATGTGTTGGAGTTTGAGGCACAATTATTCCTGCCCTCATTTACCTGCAAACTAGTCCAAGTGTCTGATTTGGCAGGAACCTCAGCTCTCCTGTGCACATCTTCCTCAGGGGCTCAGAAGGTGGCCTGAGGACACTTCTAAAGGGCCAGAACCAGGTCAGAGGAATTGCTGTTCCTTCACAACAATGTGCCTGCAGCAAAGTGATGGCAGCCCTCTACTGCTCATGTAGCAGGAAGACACTTGGGTTAAGTACTAACCCTTTGACTTTGTACAGGTTTCTTGCAACTAGAAATGGCTTGCAGCAGGAAGAAGTGATGTTGCTGTGGCTTAAACGTCTATGCAGTGAATTTGTCCAAGGAGAGTCTGAATGTCATTGTGTGCCCACGAGCTGATTGATATGATTGATCTAACCTCCCCAAGGCTGAATAACCCAAGCTTCCTAATAAGGGTACTCCAAGAAGGCAGAAATGGCAGTCTCCCCTGTGATACTGAAGGGAACAGCCTGTGGCACCCTTTCAGGGAACAGACTGGTTTGTTTCAGGGAACCTGTAGGAGCATCTTCCCAGCAAGGGTGCAGCAGGATGTTTTCAAAATTTGAGAAAACAGTGTCACCTACAGACAAAGCTCAGTCCTTGCTCCCCAACCAGTCACGTAGTCCATTAACCCTGTGCTTTCATAGTGTTTAGTATTAATGGAGATACGTAGATAAGCAGGGAGGACAGAGATGGCTTCTGGCTGCTGATGACCAACACGGACTTCAGCCCCTTTTGCTTGAGCACTCAGAATCAGTCTGGGCAGGTTGGGCATGCCGAGCTTTGTCCACCAGCACTGAATTATTCATGGTGCCTGGCTCTGTTGGAGCCCAGAGAGCAGGGGATCCCGCCGTGCCAGGTCTCTGCTGGCTCCAAGCATGCTCGGAAGAAGCCAGTGCCAGAGCTCTACGCATCCCTGCACCATGCTGCACCAAGACACTGCAAGAAGGGGCTGGGCTATGACTGGGCCATCAGCTTGCCAGCAGCACCCGGGCAGTGCCGGACCTCATCAGCAAAAACTCTCGTGATGGTGCAGCAGAACACATGCCAGCAAGGCACTCCTGCCCTGGGAGTATTTGTAGTGTTAAAAATTTTCCAGGTTTACTCAAATAATGAAAGTAAAATAAATTTAGCAGCCACCAGAAAGCCCCTGCAGGGCCTGCTCTCGGCCTGCGTGCAGGCGCTGGGGTGCGGGTGAGATCAGCAACGTTCTGCAGGAGGTGGCTGCAGCGGCTGCGTGTCCCTGCACCACTGCCCCTTTCCTGCTGGACACTCCCAATGGAATGTGTATTCCACCCTGCCCAGCAAGCCGCCCCGGAACCACGGCCCTCACAGGACAGGGACACCCTTCCCTCTCTCCACCTCCTCCTCCTGCACTGGATGTTTCCTTGCAAAACGCCTTTCCTCAGCCCCAGTCCCAGCTCTCCAGTTTTCACCTGTGCCATAAATGCTGTGGTGACACTGCTTCTGCCAGGGCAGCCCTCGTGCCGGCTGCCGAGCCTGCACTCACCCCTCCACGGTCCGTCCCAAGTCCCTGTTCCTCTAGGAGTGGCCCCGGGAAGCTCACTACCCTGCAAGTCCTCCTCCTTCCCGGCACCTCAGCAGTGTCATGTCCAGGCTCAGGGCTGCTCAGAGGCCACTGCTCTTCTTTGCTGCCGCTAGTGGGACTTCAGCATAATGCCCCGTGGGGCTCTGCTTTCCCACACCGGGCTCTGCTGGGGCTCCCATGGGAGCAGCTGGCAGCTCCTGGGGCAGCAGGGTGCACTGGACCCGGTGCCTGTCACAGAGCCATGAGAGCAGCCCCTGCATTTCACGTTCCTGCTCCCTCCCTGCCAGGGAGGACAGCGCAGGGCCAGGTTGACTGCTCTTGGCTCTTGGCCCTGCTTGAATGAGCTGCTGTCTGTATTTCCCCTTCCTGCTCCGACATCGTCAGCCTGGGGCGCAATGAGGAATGACCCTGCCAGCAGCTCATCCAGAAAAAACTGTTAGCGGCAGCAAGGGCAGTCATCGCACACTGGGGAGAGGCAACACAGAAGGTGGTAATGCAGAAGAAAACCCAGAACAAGCCAATGGTGTCGAAAATGAGGCCGGGCAGCAGGAGGCCCTCAAACACAGACCAGGCCACCAGCCCCCTCTCCCTGACCCATCTCTCACCCTTGCGGCCCCCCCAGACTGATCCCCATTTCCTTCCTGCCCTGCTCTCCTGCCCCTGTGCAAGGGGCTGCTCTGCTCGGCCTGCGGGTGCCACAGAGGCCTGTGCCACATGCTGTGCCATGCCATGCCATGCCATGCCATGCCGTACCACGTGCCCTGTGCCAACAAGGCACAGAGGCCGTGCAGAAGAGGAAAGATGCAGCTCTGCAGCCACATCACTGCATCCTTACAAGCTGGAAGAACTCCCAGCTCACAGGAACATAAAGTGCTGAAGCCCCCTCCAGTGAGCCCCTCTGCAGCCCCATCCCTGCCCTGCCCTCCCCATGATGGGTTTTTCCCACTTACATCCACCAGCTCCCTGCCCCTGGGCAGCTGAGGAGAAGAAAGGCAGTGGGCAGCCATCAGAGGTGGGAACTTATTGCCTGCCTAGCTCTAGAAAAGTCCCTTCCACCATTTTATTTCAACTTCCCTGCCTGTAAAATGGAAAATTTGAGGCAGCTTCCAGAGTGCTTGAAACATCATTACTTAACGGTTGTAAAACGTCCAGTGCTCTGTGGCTGCTCTCCAGCCCTGCTACAAGCTCTGGTGCCCCACGGAAGGGTATGTGAGAGCATGGCAATAGTGAAGATGATGCTGCAGTGTTTTAACATGCCAGAAGAAACAGATCCAATACAAAACAGGTATTTACAAAGATTATTCTTGCTAATGGTCTGGAAGTATGATGATGCTATAAACTGCCAAAGGCTAAATTATCCACCTAAAGTTTGCAGTTTGAAATGCCTCCATGGACTGCATGCATGTATCAAACTCATACACACGTACAAAAGTGAAGTACAAAAGCAATAATTTGGATATTTCCAAGCATGAGAAAGTTCATCTTGCTGTTACAGTCAAGTAAAAGAGTAGAAGGTCTGCAGAGGTCTTGCTCCACTAGCTACATGCAAAAGCCAGCTCTCCTCTTAGGTGTCCTCTAAGGAGCTTCACTACAGCATGCAGTACCACAGTGTTGCAAGCCCAAGCAGTGGGGAGCCAGGGGAAGGCTCTGGCCATGTGGTGAAGGTCAACGCGAATGGCAGCCGGGGCACAGGGCCATGTCTGCTGCAGAAAAGCTTTGCAGTGAACTCACAGCTACCAAGCAGCAACAGTTGCAGCAGAGAAAGCGGTGGGAACAGGGACATTACCTGGCCCCATGCCTTCAGCTGTCCATGTGAGCCCTCCAGCACCTCCAGGGCTGGCCTGGCCAGGCTGCTCTGCGGGTGGGGGGGTCCCGCCAGCGCCGTGAAGCCCCAGCCTGCCCGGGCGGGCCGGACTCTCCGGTGTTGGAATAGCGGCGATGAACGGCAGCTGACGTCAGCCCGTATCAGTATTACTGTGCCGATAGAAGGATGTGGTGAGCAGAGAGGGGGCAGCAAGTTTGGCTTCCAACACCCACACAGCGTTTGCTACTGTACTGTTCCGGTCTCGAACTCTGACGTGAGAAAAAGGTGGGAGAGCAGATGACAGCTCAGAGGCTGCAGCTCTGAAAGGTCCCCAAAGCGGATCAGGGAGCTGGTGATGCAGCTTGTGGTGATGCTGGACTTGCATTGGGGAGGCATCAGCAAGGGCGTGTGCAGCCGGAGGGACCAGCTCTTGCTGGGACCCCGCACTACACAGATAACCGCAGGATTATCTGGTGCTGTGGCTGCTCGGCCCGAGCTCAGCACCTCCCTATAGCAGGACGGAAACAAAATAAATCCCACTTAGGACATGGACAAGGAAGCAGCCAGCAGTTCCATATTAAGCAGCTTTCTCTTTCCCATGTACTGATATTTGAAAAACTATCGGAAGTTTCTAGCCTCCAGGGTACATAACATCCGAGTTTGAGCAGACCTTGAGTAGACAAAAGTCAATCTTAAAAGCCTGCTGCTCTCAGCCCAGAGCAGTGAATACAGAGCTCCAGGGAAGCTGCTGATGGTCCTAAATAAGAGGAAGCAGCTCTGGACAGTTTCTGTGCTGAGACACAAAAAGGGAAGGTGAGGTGCCTTATGTTACGGGTATTTGCAGGAGATCAAAAGAGTATTTAACAACATGCCAGCGTCTGAAT